TGACAGGTATTACTTAAACTAAGGTTCTAGGGACTGCTTCGGCACAATAAATGGGCCAGTGCTGAGAAGAAGCAGCGCAGCACGAGACTCATGCCCGTTTTCACCATCAATCCCTAATTTTTAAGTTACCCCGATGGTAACAAATAATAGGAATTTTGTTGTCATAGGGGTCTTTTACTTAAAAAAATTAGGGATTGATGGTGAAAACGGGCATCAGTCACTTTATGTAAACCTCTTATTCAAGGCTCCTCTTTTTATTTATTGATTTATACTTCAATGCCAAAAATATTAACATTAGGCGAACTTAATGCCTTAAGGCATTCTCATCCAGTTTACCTTCGGGTTATGCAGAATTTTTGTCCAATTTTGATTACGTTATTTCAAGTTAGAATTCTACTCATCTTTTCTGGTGACACTATTTTTATTCTGAACAGCTTGTCTAGTAGTATTCTAGTCTTAGAAGCCTCTGGTACGTATGAGAGCGGCTCCCCGCGCGTTTTTACGTCGTGTGAGCGCAGTTTTTCCAGCATTTCCACGGTTTTTCCTCGATCTACGTACGCCAAGGTTTTTGCTGGTGTGTACTGCGACTGTGGGAACTGATACTTTCAGTGAAATAATAGTCGAGACGGACGGGCTTGATCGACAAGAAATGCGATTCATCTCTGATTGAACATGTTAGATGCTTATAAGGGCTGATAGAGTCAGACACTTCTAGTAATGTCAATGTCAAAGATTTTATTCAGTACTTAGGCCCTTTCCAGGGCGCTTAAACTTAACGAAACAACTCTTAAAAGTTGAGTGTTCAGAATCTCATAGGTATCACTTGTTTTCCGTGTTAAGAATAGATGTATGTGTGTTTCAGACACGGATGCAACGAAATTAGAGTGTACCCGAAAACCCGATTTTTTTTAACTATCGCACAATAAACTGGATTAAGGAAGGAGCCATAATTTTAAGCTTGTCCACTTTTCAAACTGACTAACTAATATTCTGCCTACTCCGAAATAAACGTGTTTTTTATTTTTTTGCGGTGACGGTGAAATCTCGATGTTTGAATTGTTGAAATTGACGCGAATGGTGTTGTTTTCCATATTTTTTATTTCTAAACTTTGTTTGCGATATTTTTTACTGTACACTATGTACGTCTTTAGCGGTTTCAGTATGTTCTTGTCTGTCCAGCTGTATACTGCAACTAAAAGTTCTTGATACTCAATTAATTTTACTTAGACTAGATGTAGTAAAAAATATACCATTCCTTACTTCTTGCATTTTAGCGACATCCTAGCCCTGTAATAAAATGACACTCAACTAAGAATCTAAACTCAAAAATAGATTTCAAGACTCTGATAAATACAAATACCAAAAGCTCATCCTAAAACAAGCTTGATTATAAGCTTTAATTTCAATCGACTTTTATCGTAATAAGTCGAAAGAATTCGACCTCCCTAAACCACCTAAGTAATACGATACTAACACAGTTTCTCTATGCTGTTATTGTTTTTATAATTTACTTGGTTTTTCCTCGACGTGTAATGGAGTTTTTGCACATAGCTCTGTATAATAAGTTAATTTGCCTTCCATTTGTAGTGCATAAGATTTTACTGGTGTATAGGATACCATACACCAGTAAAAAATTATGCAAGAGTTAAAAAATATATTAAGTGCCACTTGTGGTCTAAACTGAATAAATATTTTTGATTTTGATTTTGATTGTATGTACCGCAGTAGTCATAGAAAGCAATTAATAGAGACCATTGTTTATTTGGCAAGTACCTTTTTAAATTAGTGAAGTATTTATAACAGCCTTTTCCTTTAAACCTACTTATAAGCTATGTGGGTAAAGTGGACAGCACTTCAACGTGATGCATTGACATTAACCGCCTCTGTAGTCTTGTGGTAATACCACCTGCTTCAGACGCAGAGGTCCCGGGTTCGATTCCCAGTGGGGGCAGATTTTTCTGTTCGGTTTGGTTGATGGTAGGGCTTGTTCTAAGTCCGCCTGGCTAACTACCACCATCTTACCTAAGTCTGTCGCCATAACAACAATGTTAACAGCATCGTTGTGTTCCGGCAGTTAGAGGTAAGATAGCCAGTTCCTCCGTGGTTGAGGATTCCGGGTGAAGCTCGCTTCTACCTACGGCCTGATCATCACTTACCATCAGGTGAGATACAGGCCAAGAGCTTCCACGTGGTTGATAAAAAAAAATATGATTGCAAAAACGCATTATTATATGTATCTACATAAGACACAATAGTGTTTTTTACCTAGACGTTCTGCCATATCTGTACATTATTCTAATTTAAATTACATTAAAATTAAATTTTATAAAAAAAAATAAAACCGACTCCAAAAAACCTACACTAAAAAGCAGAATAATAATTACTAATTACCTACTTATTTATTAGGACGAATCTATATATATAAAAATGAAACCCGTTTCGCGTTGTCACGGCATCACGTGTGAACGGCTGAACCGATTTCGATAATTCTTTTTTTTAAATGTTTGTGGAAGTCCAAGGATGGTTCTTACGGAAAAAAATATTAAGAAAATCTCTACGCTAAGGCGGTACGAAGTTCGCCGGGTCAGCTAGTTATTAATATTTATGTATCTTGGCACCGACTCCAGAAGTATCAATCATGGTATACCTACATAAATATTAATAATTCGTCCTAATAAATAAGTAGGTAATTAGTAATTATTATTCTGCTTTTTAGTGTAGGTTTTTTGGAGTCGGTTTTATTTTTTTTTATAAAATTTAACTTATTTCTTGCTTTTTAGTTGACTAATTATTACCTTGATGTTACCACTGAAGGTAGGCAGTACATTGAGACCATATTCTTAATGTATATTATAAAAAAGTTCATCCCCAATTTTCCACCCTTGGGGGTGAAAATTTTCTTCAAATTCGCATGAAACCACCCTTTTGATAATACCTATTCAACAAAAAAATAATCGTTCAAATTGGTTCATAATCGGCGGAGATATTGCGTATAAAAAAGTTCATCCCCAATTTTCCACCCTTGGGGGTGAAATATTTTCTTCAAATTCGCATGAAACCACCCTTTTGATAATACCTATTCAACAAAATAGTAATCGTTCTAATTGGTTTATAATCGGCGGAGATATTGCGTATAAAAAAGTTCATCCCCAATTTTCCACCCTTGGGGGTTGTTTTTTTTTTATTATTAAATTTAAATGTGACCACCCTTGAGATATTACCTATACGCTGAAAAAAGATTTGTTCAAATCGGTTCATAATTGGCGCAGCTATCGCGTAACAAACATAGAAAAAAAAAAAAAAAAACATACGGGTCGAATTGAGAACCTCCTCCTTTTTTTGAAGTCGGTTGATTATACCTATAATGTTTCCCTATAAATAAATAAATAATGGTATACGAGTTACTACTCTACAACTATAGTGATAATAACCTTCTTATGTAGGTAGGTCCATATTTTTAAATTACTAATTACTTATGTAGGTAGGTAGGTGGTTAATGTTCCCATGTTGTTTGTATTTGTGTTTTGTAAAAAGTTGTAATTTTCTTACTAATTTGAATTGAAGGCAAAAGCATACGGGTGAAATAATAAAGTTAATTGACGTTAATTTTTACTCGCATTAGGTTATATGTATAAGCATATTACTAAAATAAATATCATGTAATTTGCAACTAATTTCCTTGTAATGAAATTGTAGAATTTTATGGTTTTAGCTTATTCAGACTAAAGAATACCTAGGCACTTTCAAAGATTTCGGATATTGGAATATAATACCTACCTAATTATTGGATCAAGTTGCATCTCATATTTAATACGAGGCTGCGGTTTGTTTGTGACATGCAATTGAGGCTTTTTATAGATTGGATTTCAATATTTCGACCAATTACAGGACAAAATCTAGATTATCGTTAGAATCTTAAGATTGAATCTAGTTTTGACTACACTATCTACAATATAACGTTTTGTTATGCAGACCTAAGTCTTCTTAAACCAGCCTACACTGCGCACGACAGTCGCGCGACAAAAACGCAAGACAAAGCTGCGCGTACGCAAAAACGCAAATCGACGCGGTGTTCCCACCGCGTTCTTTGAATCCCTTTTTGTGGGGGGTGAGCAGCAAATGGATTATGTGGAAATCCAATTAAGACGGATTCAATGGGGCAGCTGAAGAAACTACAATGTTTTCTTACTGAAACTTCTTCTCAGCACTTGCCAAATGCGAAAAAATGCCAAATAAGGAAAAAAGAGAGAGAAAAGCCATGGCCTACTCTAGACAGACGCTTTTTTTTAACACATAATTTGCCTAATAAGATTGCTGCACTCACTGCTGATATTAAATTTTCTTCTATAATTTTTTAGGCAGTTTTGTAAACACTAAATTTAAATAAAACTAAAATAAATAAATAAAATAAAAACTTTTGAGAGCTTTTAAAGCGCTCTACCCTATGATTGGTGGCCGCCTGGCTTGGTGGTTTGCGTAACCCAACACGCACCCACTGTGGTTACGGGTTCGAATTTTAGTATGATGCAAACAAACTTTCAGCCATTCACAGTCTATCAATGAAACTAGGTAAGTAAGTATACGGACGGATGTAAAAAATTTAGAGTTAAGTTTAAGTAGGTTCGTCTTTGAAAACGACTGAAGTTTCTAATGTTATTCGTACGTGCACATTAATTATTTAATTACTTATTGATTATTTTTTAATTATTTATTTATTTGTTATTTATTTATTTAATTAGTTATTGAAGGTAATACACCCAATTTTCATTTTCTTTATTTTATCCTGTTAGGGCTGAAAGCAAACTTGTTTGCAAAAGTTACAAAAGTGAGCATGTTTAACTAGTTTTTACCTACCTATACACACACATACACAGTTGGGTATGTTCTGTACCCACACACCACTAATAAATGAAATCATAATTAATAAAGCTCGCAGCAGGCGCGCCAACAGTAAATTAAACTTTTCAAAAGTCCCATTAAAATTTCATGAGGTGACTTACTGGTTCCATTCACGTTGCGTCCGATGATCTTATTGGACCCGTTGGGCAGCGGGGCGGGGGCGTGCGGCGCGGGGGGAGCGCTCCGTCCCGTTTCCTCGCCCGAGCTCTCCATATCGCCCCTCTCGCTCGCACACATCAACCCGACACCCGCCAATTCAAAAACTTCACAAAATCTTTCGAAAACTGTCAAATTTTAATCCTCTTCACATCTCCCAACTCACTGGCAAGTAAATACTCGAAAATAAAAAATAAAAAGTTTTTTTTTTCATAGGCATGCAGTCACGTAGTATTCGGAACTGCTCCGCGTGATTTTCGCGAGGAATTGTGGCCGTGACGTAGCGGTAGGACGCTCGCGCCTCGACTGACGTTGGAGCCCTATGCAGCTGCATCGCTCCGCCCAGCACCCCACGCGACCCCTCCACGTGGCCCCACGGCTTTCCTTTGCCCTCGGCGTACATAAAAAAGAACATAAAGGCCCCGTGCTACGAATTTCTGTCGATGTATGAGTGCTGCGTTTATGTGGAACGACTGAACGACTTGAGGGACGGTGCGACCGCTTTTTATTAAGTTAAAAATTCGTCCCTATACTTATCGACCGGTGAGAGCTGACGGCGACTTTAATTTTAGCTGGGACTGGATATGAAATCAGTATTTTTGAAGGGCATTTTAGTTAATTTAACTTTTGATCAAGAGATCAACTTTTACATCGTCTTTTATGGCGCTCCTAAATAAACAATTATTTTAAACCTCGAAATAAACGACTCTAGCTATCTAAAGCATCATTTTTGTTTGAATTTATCTTAAAAAAAAGTTTTGCAAATAAAAAAAGTCAATAGATGACGATAGAGATGAAAATCGTAATAATAAAAAATATATTTATTCTTATCACTATTGAATTGTGATCCCCGTAAGACTGGCTTGCAAAATAAACGCGACAAAGTTCTTATAAAAAAGTTAAGCTTATAAAAGCTTCGAACTTTAGACTCCCAGCTTAAACCGTTTCACCGCTACTGCGCCATTGGTGCGCTCTACCTTAGTAAAGAAATATCCTACGGAACTCCTTAAGATCGAACTCCCCTGGTTTTACAGTTACTCAATTTACCAAAACAAAGATCGCACACCGGACTTATTATCTCGTGTTCTACATAATATCTGATCGCAAAAACCAAATCTCTGCGAACAGTCGCGATCGTGCGAGGAACAAATTAAAAATGATAATTTTGCAAAAGCTCAATTCTGCTAAGAACGGAAAGTCGTTTCGCGGAAACGATAAAAAACCCAAAAGTTGGCGGGCTCCGCCATTTGCAAAAAACTGTGCCACAGATAAAACAAGCCCCGAATATGGGCTAAATATAATTTCGGAATTACAGGTTGTTAAATTGAGTTGGGCTGGTAGGAGCCTGTAAGTTTGCTTGTGAGAGCGGAATGATTATCTTTTTATGATTTCGTGCCAGGGGAGCTAAAGAACGTTATCGTTGCAACATTGTCTTGTGTCTGTTAACACAAACATTCTGTACCTAGTCTAGAAACAAATAAGTAGGAACAGAAGTTAACGAATGCACATTAAAATTTAACTTACTGAAAGATGTCTAAAATGTAATTAAATGCAATCAAAATAGTAGTTAGGACACCAAAATATGTAAAATTATAGGTCACGAACTCTACACTCAACATTTTTGCAAAGAGAGAAATAGGTAACGTTCAAAAAGGTGTCATCTCCACCATGAAAACCGGTTTTGAGATTGGCGGATTCAATTTTTGGGTGAGGCAGGAAAAAAACAACGTGGAAGACTTTCGCTAACTATAATTTTCGTCAACAGGGTGTCCCAAAAAGTAGTGTCAAGCCGAAGCCCAGAGGTAAGAGCATCACTAGGGCTATCCAAATCACCCCCATGTATGTTCCGCGATATTTCATAGTTCGTTCGTTCGTTCGTTCGTTTCAGCCGAAAGACGTCCACTGCTGGACAAAGGCCTCCCCCAAGGATTTCCACAAAGACCGGTACTTCGCCGCTTGCATCCAGGTACTTCCCGCGACCTTCACCAGATCGTCGGTCCACCTAGTGGGAGGCCTGCCCACGATATTTCATAGTATTCGAGTTATTACTGTGCTTAGGCACTTTTTAGGTCACTGTGGCGCGAATAGTCAAGTTAAATGCCTGATTTTTTTTTTATTAATATTTGATGAATAACTACTAGGCCTAGCTGATTCAGAAGTATTTACATCCATAACATGAATGTAAACTAAAATCCTTTATGTTATAAAAAAATCATAACTCGAAAGTTATCAAAAGTCATGGTGATTTGGGTAGCCCTAGTGATGCTCTACCTCTGGGCTTCGGCTTGACACTACTTTTTGGGACAACCTGTATGAATAGCTGTAGTAGAAAGCGAAACGACGTGTTCCTTTTCTCGCGTGTACATAGTAAAATACTCGTTTCAGGAACGCAGTCTGAATTTTCTATGCGTCCGTTTTTCCCGCGCTTTTCGCATAAGCGCGCGGTTCCCACCGCGGGCCGTTAGTCCGTCATCATATAGACATATTTCCAGCTACCACCGTCTACAACCTTTCACCGACCAAGGAAAAACCTACACTACCTTAACAGTCGCTCGGATATTATTTACAGAAAAACCAAGGCCAGGAAACGGGCGGGGAACGACGCGACAGCGAGCGGGCTTACAAGTAGTCATTTATACATATAGTAACTAATTCCGCTACTGTCTAACTAGACATTAACAACCTGGGTCCAAATTGGTCACTTAACTTAAAACGAATGTCTGATAAATGAATGCGCATTCAGATTAAAACGAAGCTGTCGTTAAAATACAAAAACCTAAGGTATTGGAGGAGCAAGGAGTATATTGTATAGTAGGTAACTATACAATACTCTTTACTCCTATACTATAAGTTAACTACTATTTTGCACCGCCTACTCAAATTCTCTGTTTAGCCTAAAGGTTAATTGGTAGAGAATGCCACACGCATGAGGTCGCCTTTTGTACCGCATTTCTTGTGCAATAAAGATTTGAAATAAATAAGGGATAAGAAAACTAAAGATGCATGAATAAATTTCTTTGCGGTTTTATCATTTACCCTTCAGCTTCAGCAAATGAAAGTCTCAAGTCGGCCGTAGTAAGGACAATCTGTTCAGGTCGATGAAGCAAATGAAGTTGTGCCCTGCGTGCCCAAACAACTGCACGCAGGAAGATTTAATGAATGCTACTGACAACACCACTCTAGTAAAGATGACCCACGCTGAACTGTCCCACCAACCCCTATTCCACTGTAATCCATTGGTCAAATCCATTAATGGATTAGATTCCTCTTCTGGGTATACTTTAGTCCATCGATGGACTTGTTTCCGCATCAGAGTATACCCCAATCCATCAATGGATTTGATTCCGCTTTTAAGTACACCCTAATCCAAACAAAATTACACAACTGTTTTTAAAGTAGCAGTAGAATACCAACATCTTTTATCCATCCATTGGATTATACATTTTAATTCGTGATTTATTTTAAAGAAATATAAATAATATACTCGTAGATATAGAAAATACGAACTCATTTATTTTTAAAAGGAAAAGCCCAGGTATTTTAATTATTCTCTTTAAACTCAATGACAGGGGGGCGCTACCATCTTTCAACTATATGGTTTCCAACATGGTAAAAATCGGAACCAGCGATCCGGTATTGACGGTGGCGCCCCAGTCCGCCCCACTGTCAATGTCATGCATCTACAGTTCAGTATTTTGGAACTATAACGGAGTTTTGGGCTGACACTGAATAGGTTTGTTGTCGACACACGACAAGAAGAAGAAGAAACAAATGAAAGTCTGTAGAATAGCGGTTCTCTAGAAGCCCGCTCACTTCGTGGCCCCACACACAGTAGACACTCTCCATCAAGCGTTTTCCCACGGTGACCGGCGCGCCTAGGCAGACTTACTAACTTTGCCTTTAATTATTCGCTTTTTTAGGAGCCCGGTGACATCGGAGAAACCAAAGCGGTTTACTGTTTTCTATTTTTTTTCATACAATAACATAGATTCTCGACGATAACTTTGATTTTAGAGCAAAAAGCACTAACGGCTTAGTGGTCATGTGAAAATCGTTAGGACTTTAAACATATGGGACTTTGTGGCTGTTTAGGTTAAGAGTTAAATAGTTTGTCCTATAGGAGGAATACTTAATTGCTCCTTATGGAGTTGAGACATTTATTGTATACTTAGTAATTAGTTAATCCACGTCACGTTTAGCACACACAATCAAATTCATTTTAGCACTAGGAACTTGCTTTCTTTGGTAGGAGCCAGAATTTCATGAAAATGATATTAATTCACCTTTAGTTCAATATATCTGCATAATTCCATTAACGTAGATAGAACTTTGAAAGACAAAAACCATTGTGACCTAATTTCGGTGCTCGCCTAACTACCAAAAGTAACGTTACAAAAGAAAACAACTAAAGTCCTCTCGAACAGCCTCGTATCCGTCCTTCGATCGATACATCCTTCAGGGTCTCGGGAGGCCTCCAAGGTCAGCAATCCAGGTCACGGTCCGTGTCAATGCCACGCCCTTGGCAGTTGGATGGAAGGCGTGAGCGCCCTTCTGGGGAAGGCTGAAGCGGGAAGTAAGGACGCCTAAAAATAGCGCCAAATTGTAATAGGATGTTAGAATGGACTTGGCTTAAGGAAACAAAGTTTTTAACAAGACTTTTATGTAGGTATATTAAATAGTGATTTATTAAAAGTGAAATTGCGTATCTGTAAAAAATTCTGTATTATGTTACATTTAAAATAAACGTTTCATCTATTAATCCCAACATTAAATTTCAAATATCAAAGACTGTGTTACCATGAATTACAATTTGCATGTGACTGTTAGTTTTGCTTGATCTAGAAAAATTTAGAATTTTTGAAGCCACGATAGCCGAACGGTGAAGGGGTCGGTCGGACTGACTCGTGCGTGATCCGGGGAACGCGGGTTCGATCCCGCCGCTGCTCGACTATTGTGGTGAGCTCACTCGTGATACAAGCATATTTAGCTTAGTATGAGGGGCTAACGGGACTAATTAGTAATTTGTGCAATAACAAATTGTAATTAATCTAAAGTTAAAAAAAACTTACATAAGTAAAGATTACTATTTTATTGTGATTTTATTCAATCTTAAGTATAAGAATAAGATTAATAAGACGTAGGTACGTAATCATTAAATGCTAAGGGGATAACTTGTCTAAACCAAAAGTTAAGATCTTAATTTTATGGTAACAAATAGTATGATAGCTACAACATGACTGTGTATTTACGAAGTTTATAAAAGTAGTTAATGCCTTAAAGGCACAATTTTCAAGACTGCCATTAATAGGTTTTGTTTTTTTATTTGACAATAAGGTAACAATAACTATCTCACATTAACACCCAAAGTGCGAAGCTATAATGAGGATCAGTACTGTTGTAGAAAATTCAATAAAACTAGTATNTTAATATTTATACATTTTTATATTTTACTTGGACGAAGATATGACTCTAACAACACTTATGAACACTTTATTTGAATAAATCGCCAAATATACCACCGCGGAGACCCTAATCGCGTCTCCGCGTTCCATTGAATCGTATGAGAGTATGGATTTTTTGCGATATTTTTTACAATTTCTATTTTAAAAAATTACCTATCGATAGCTCACTTTATTCTGATGAATAAATGTCATAACAAGTTTTTCTCTAAAACTGATAGTTTGGCTAGAAAAAAATATTTTCTATCCACGCAGTACGCCGGCAGCGTTCGGATCGGATATAGTGACGTCATCGGTCCCGCGCCGGGCAGTCAGTGAACTTTTTTAGTAATTTGGCCATAACTTCGTCAATTTTTGTCGTAGAACAAAAATTTTTGGACTGTATATTAAGGATTTCTTAGACCTATAAATCTGCATTCACAGCTAAAAATCTAAATGATCCTCATTGCAAAACCTTGCAAATTATGCATTAACATGACAGATGTAAGATACCGTCTAAAAATTGAAACTTATTCTTCTCCAGCTGCGTATCTTTTTAATTGTGTTAAGTTAATAAATAGCGACGTTTTTAGTTTCTTTAATTTGGTTAGGTTTGTAACTACTTTATAGAAAGCGACAATAGCCCAATGCTGCAATGGTATCGGTGTCGGATTGGACTGGATCTCTTCAATATAACTATCCCAGGTTCGAATCTCGTCCCCGCTCGACTTATTGTATTTAGTTAACTTCAGATCATAGGTAGTTAACACTCCTAACAAAAGGTTATAACTCAAGTTTATTGCACAGGAAGGTCTAAACTTACATAATTAACTTTAACTAGGTACCTAGATACATAAGTACTTACTTAGTCCCATTTTAAAAAGTCACATCGTAACTGAAAACTCACACGCATTATCATTTCAGCCATAGGTCGTCCACTGCTGAACATAGGCCTCCTCCGATGCTTTCCATGTTTCCCGGTTGGTAGCAACCACACATTTTTTTTTCTAATAAGAATGATTATTGGAATATTAATCATAATGCAAAAAAGAGAGTTATACTTGAGTTACTAACACATTTTATGACAGGAAAATATGCCGAAATTCGTAAAGCAACAAGAACAAATAAAAGAGGATCGTTAGAAAATTCCAACCGTTGCCGTCTGCTTCATAATTCCAATAAGAATTACCCGCAAGAAATAATAGGGTCGTCTGAAAGGCTCATAGGAATGTATTACTAATTCAAAAGCAAATGATTTCCACACATTATCCGCGTTAACGCAGCTGAATATCAAAAAAATATCATTATACATAAATGTCCATTCCAAACAAGAATTTCATCAGAAGCTTTTTGTTGGACCGCAATTTCGGGAACGCGAGCGCGGGAAAAACTACAAAATGGCCGCCGACTCGAATGCAAATTGCGCGCGGAAAAAGCTAAAGCTCGGGTAAAAACACTAAGGAACTCATAGTATTTCATCGTCGTCGCCGGTTATTGCGGGGATAGGGTTTTTGCTAACATTCCAGATCAAGCCACGCCGACTTTTTGCCGGCGGTAGTCTGGGAAGATCGCGCCGAGCTGCCGGTGGGCAAAAACGACATGGCGACTGCCATAACGCCGTAAGAGACGCAAAAACATTGCGACATACGGATAGAATTAATGCGGCGACTCTTTAATTTTCTTCAAGAAAGCGCGGGAGGAAATGGTGTAATGAGTGTCGCGGCAAAAACGCCTATCTGTATAATAGCGGGCCTCATTTATCGAGTGCACTCGGATGATCAAAAAAGATGCGGGTTTTCTTATAGGTTTATGAACAAATCGATCTTATTGGAAATTTAATTGCTCTATTCGCTGTTGCCTATTTATTTGTAAACATGCACAACACAAGTAGGTTACATATTTACTTACTTAAAATAAATCCAACAAGTCATATTATCATGAGGGTCGTCACTTGTTAATAAACTGTTATAAAGTGGGGTTTCAAAAATAATAATTGTGAATGTAGAGCACTTCCGTGTAGGTAGGCCATTAATGTACACTTAACTACACATTAGAAAGAAAGAAAGTAAGAAAGAAAGAAAAATAATTTATTCAAAGCAAGTACAAAATAAAATAACAAATAGATAAATAAAACCAAAAACCAAATAGCAAGCAAGATTTTATTACTTACTAAAAAAATACCTGCTTAGGTTTCGTTCCAAACGAAAGGTTTTTGAAAATCCGCAATATTTTTGGTTTATGTAAAAAACATCGTCACAACTTGCGATAAACGCCATCTATACGGCTTATTTTGAACTATTGTGAAACTCTAGTGTTACTGTCATCGTTTCTTAATAGATGGCGCTTTATAAGCATCATCACTGAATAAATACTAGGTAATATCACGTGATATCAATCTTGTCATTTGATAATTTTCTTATAATCTGTCAAAACATTTTTTACGCTTGCAACACCGACTAAAACGAAATTTGAATTCTGCGTGAAGCCAACGATTCAACGTTTTTTTTGTTGATGATCGTGAAAACAAATTATTTTGAAAATTGTGTATTTAGTGTAAGATATACGCAACTGCGTTGTGTATAAGATTTGTGCATAAATTGTATGTTGAGTGCGAAATTATGACGTCGGAAAAGCCAAGCAGAAAGGACAAAAATCAGAACATTCAAGTGTTCGTTCGACTGAGGTAATTAATTTGTATTTGTAGCTCTGTTACTGTATTAAATAATTAGAAAATACGGATTATCACTATGATACTACTTATTAAATATATATTTTGTCTAAAAAAGCATGTCGGACTAACATTCTAGTAAAATTCAATGAAGATGCCTCGTTAGCTTCACCCACACTACAAGTTCCTAGATTTACCCCTACAGCCCCTACATTAAAGCTTCTACATATCTCAAATGTACTCACAAGCTAAATAAATAATTATTCTCATTTGTAATTTAGTTAGACTTATTTCATTGAATTGATCAGAAATGTTGATCACTGAGATTATTCAGTTTCTACTTCATACTTATGCGTTTCCGGCTCTATCACAACCTATATTATACTATGAACACCACTTCTTTTTAATGAATATTCTGTAATTCAACTTTATTAGCCCTCTGACCTAGTTTTTTAATTATTACCTTGACCTAATTCTGTATTAATTTATACCTTTTTAATTGGTACCAAATTTTATTGTTAACATGCAATTCGCCTTATTTTTTAAGTACAAAAACGAAATTACAAGTGAACAGCGTACATTTCAAAACATTCAGTTTTGATAGGGTCTTCCACATATTACTGAAATGGTATATGGGCGATTCTCTGTAAGCTCGTAATCGGCTGTCCCGGCCGATTTTTTCAAAAAGCAATTAAAATATTTAAAAAAAACACTCGTAATGAAACTTTATACCCAAAACTTTACGGGCCCTTTGTTTTTAGAACCATAACTATTTTTAGCTTTTTTCTAGACTCGATTAAAGCCCGAAAAATACAGTCCCCTGGCTGTCCCCATCACTGCATTTCCGCCTAGAAATGAGATTTACGAAGAAGATATTGAAACTACATACATCTGGCAGCTCATAGCATAAAGAATAATAATGAAATTATATTATTTTCGTAAAACAAGCTCTCATTACCAATTTTATTTATTTAGTAAACTCCTGTAAACTTTGTCCCCAGAATTTTAATACAGTCCCCTGCCAAAAATTTAAATTCATAATATAAAAAAACTATAATAGCTACGATGTTTTTTTTGAGTGAAATGAAATGCAATTGCTATAAAATAGGCAACCTTGCCGAATGCGGCGTTGAGATGCCTATTTTTTTAGTGTCAGAGCGTCATTTGTGAGGTGAACACGCGCTTGAATCGCCACCACACACAGTCCTCTGGTAAGTCATAATATGCATGTTAATTACTTAATAATCTCTAAATAAAGTATAAATTGATATAATATTTATGTCTCAATTGATCGGTAGATTCTTAAAACACTATTTAACATCATTTTCGTAAATATTGTGAAATTTAGCCGAAATACACAGTCCCCTGGCAACAGTCCTCTGCCTGAAATTGCACTAATATGTGCATCAGGTCGCAAGTATTTATTCCATCCTCGGCTTTTCAAATAAATATAAAACACTAACAATGAGGCAGCAAGGTTCTGGAGTAGAGGCCATGTACCGGAAAACGCAGCGAGAGACAAGCGACACCGAGCCACCTTATGGGTGGACCGACGACCTCATAAAGGTAGCAGGAAGGCGTTGGATGCAGGCCGCTCTACCAACTGTGCGATGTGGAAGTCATTGGGGGAGGGCGGGAGGCCTATATTCAGCAGTGGACGTCCAGTGCTGAAATGATGTTGATGACTAACAATGAAAAGTATCAGCTGCTTTTGCAACAGTGGTTCTTGTGAGCATTATAACGGAAAATCTTTAATCTGCTGAACCTGAATTGACCACAAATTCCCCTCAAAGATTTGATGATGAAATAGCAGGAACGGGTGGTACTCGGAATTCAGTGCCTCAGAGGTTAAGGTTAATTTTTGATACGAATGTTTATTAAGGAAAGTTGTTATTTCTGTTAATTTTTTATAAAGACATTTTGTGTACTATTGATAATTGCTATAAAATAATAAATAATTTATCAATTTAAAATGACTTTTTCTTAAAGTGTAACAGTCCTCTGTCTCAATTAACAGTCCCCTGTCATGATTTTTTGGAAAATCGCTAATAACTCGGAAAATATTAATAATTTCAGTGGGACTCCTTATGTAACTAAAATAATAGTCAATTTTCTTTGAAATGGATCACGGTTTTTTGGAAAATGTTAAAAATAATTGCCAGGACAGCATTTGTATGGGACCTGTATGAGCTTACAGAGAAATGCCCATATTAAAAAATAGTGCTATGAATAGGCTTAGTAGCATAGACTTGATACCGTGTTATTAAACGTTAGTTATAAGTTTGTTTTGAATGGGAGAAAATAAATAAATTTATTATTATCACTCAGTGAACAAGCTCATAAAATAAAGATAAAAAAAATTATTATTGTATTGCAGACCACTGAATCAGCGAGAACGAGACATCAAGTCGCTGGGAGTGATCGAAGTGGTAAACAACCGCGAGGTGGTTGTCCGACAGTCACAGCAGACCTCCCATACTAAGAAGTTCACATTTGACCGAGCTTTTGGCCCTCATGCGAAACAGGTAACAAATTATACATTTCTTAAATAATAATAAATCAAAAGCTTTTATTTCCACAAAACATAGTTTTAGAATAAAAAAAATTGTTAGGATATTTGTATTTTGCTAGTTGTAGCACCCTGAATACATTTCTTATTCAGTATAAATGAATTACTTGAGATTTTTTAAGTGGTATTCCTTGTAATTTTCAAACATTTACTTATTCCAGGGGCATCTTGACTTTTTTTAACTGTGATGCCCTTGGGAATTTGCCTTTTTTTTGCACCTTTGACTTATTCAATACATTTCTCATTCCATACCAGACATGCCATTTACCTAAGTAAATTTTTATACGAACAAAAATTGCTATCTTTCAATATTATGAAAATTAGATCAGCTGTTAATAATTTGATATAAAATACTTACACTGTAAGCCTTACAGTAATAAAAAGTACATAATATTTTCAGGTTGAGGTATACCAGGAGGTGGTGAGCCCTCTGATCGAGGAGGTCCTAGCCGGATACAACTGCACAGTGTTCGCTTATGGACAGACCGGCACGGGCAAGACCCACACCATGGTGGGGGAGAATACCGGGGACGAAACCACTTGGCAGAATGTAAGTATCGAGTTCTATGAAGGCTACTGACAACACCACTCTTGTAGCTGACACATGCGTAGGTTTATTGTCGACACGACAAGAAGATTGAGTTCTATCTCATCTTGTTAAAGGCTTTGTGCCTCTTACTCCTTATGAAAATTTAAAGTGGTTTGTGTAAATAATGTCCACCTAATGAGGCTGCCAAGTGTATAAATATTTGATTAAAAAACACAAGTTTTTATGTTGATAATAAAATTTATTAATCCCCTCTTTAATGGACTTCAAATAAAGGACGAGGTTCTAAATTTCAAAAATACCTTTGCTATCAGTCAGTAAAATAAATAAAATATCAAAATTTTGTGCCCAAAAAAATCCCCAAGTTAGCTTTAGTTGTTGTGTATGAAGTTAAATTACAAGTCCATTAATTAGATGACTAAGCTATTCAGCTGCAACAAAGACAATTATTTAATCCATAGCTAACTACTTTAATCCTATAGAACATTTTTGTACAGTGAACAGCACATCAGTCTACTTTTTCGTTGAAAAATACCACTAATGAGGGCTATCGTTTTAGCGCTCACCAGTTAGCGCCACTGTAGAGTAAGGTCCTGTCACTTGCTAGTAGCGAAGACAGTGGCACCAACTGGTGAGCGCTAAAGTGGTACGAGGACTATCGCATTTGCACTCATCAAGATGGCGCCACTGTAGAGTAAGGTCCTGTCAATCGCCAGGGGTGCCAACTGTTAAGTATAAAAACGATAGCCCTCATTACAACTCTATAAGATGTCTGTTTGTATACCCCCAGGACCCACTAGCCGGTATAATCCCCCGAGCCCTCAGCCAGTTATTCGACGAGCTCCGTATATCAAACACGGAGTACACCGTCCGGGTGTCGTACCTGGAACTGTACAACGAAGAGCTGTTCGATCTGCTCTCTACCTCCGAAGACAACTCCAAGCTGAGGATCTATGAAGACGTTACGAGGAAGGGATCCAATATTGTTAACGGCTTGGAGGAGATTACGGTAAGAATAGTAGCATTAGGGATGTTTCCTGGGTCAAAAAGCAAGAGTTTTAATTAGTCCGTCAGTTAACTTATAAAAAAATACTCTACACGTATTTTTCACTTTTTCAAACTAATGAAAATGTAAAGAGATAAAGCGCGCCAAAGTTCATAAGAAGAGGCCCGTGACGTCAATGCGTGCATAAAAGTGCCGCACGTTGTGACGTCGTGCGGAACTTCAACGCACCATAACTATGTAATTATTTGTTAGATTGACAAATAAAAATATATGTGTCCAATATTTTTTGATATTAAACATGACGGACAAAAAAAATTTTTTTAGGAAACTAGCCTAACGCCCTTATTCAAAAACATCACTATGAGGTCTCACAGTGCGCGTGGACGCACAGGTTCACACACGAACCAATCACAGAGCTCTATTCAACGCTGTGCGTTCGATTTGCTGCTTCACTTTAGCAAGCGACGTTTGTGAATACGGACGCAAGTGCGGCTTTCGATTTCTTAACTAAGTAGCAATTTATTCAAGTAGTGATTGCTGTACAATACGACGTGTACATATCTAAATGTGAGGTAGTTGTAGGACAAAGCAGAAAAGACTATTTTATCTAGTAGATTATTATTATAAGAAACTGTCAAATTTAAATAGAGACCATTTAGTATGAGACTTGAAGGTAATCTGCTTGGATAATAACGGATGAATCAATTTCTGTTATAAAAGCTAGTAAACCCAAACCCAAACAAGTCTCTTTGGGTTAAAAGTATGTACTTATGTTCTGATACTAAACAAGTTTTTTTTGTTTGTTTTGATGAAGGTATACAATAAGAATGAGGTATACAAGATCATGGCCCAAGGACAAGAGAGGAAGAGAGTCGCTTCTACGCTCATGAATGCGCAATCTAGGTATGTTTCTATCCAATTACCAGTTTTTATATTAATTAGATTAATTGTTCGTTCGTTCGTTTCAGCCGAAAGACGTCCACTGCTGGGCAAAAGCTTCCCCCAAGGATTTCCACAAAGACCGGTCCTGCACCTCCCGCGATTAGATTAGATTAATAAACGATTTAAAAGGTTGAGGTTCTATGTTCCTTATCAATAGTATCAGTAACAATTTGAATCTATCTTACTTTAAAAATCTTAAAAGTCTCATTCATTGTATAATCACTCATACGAAACAGCACCTTCGTCGTCCCGAAAAAAGCTACGTACGACTTTTGTTCCATTGAGTGATAGTAAAATGAGGTCACCTCACCCTATTTCGAAACTAAACATGACATAATTTGCAGCAACCCCACCAATAACAAACCAGTCCCGTGAGTTTTATCAAATGTTTTTCATAAAGTACAAGTAACAGTTTAAACTTAAGTTTGTCTATGTTTCCTCTTAAATTCAGATAAATGTTTACCTCTGTTAAATTCGCGGTAAAATTGGTTGGTGACTGCAAATTATGTCGAGGAAGCATATACAAATAACTTATTGTAGCTTCATCATCATAAAGACAGTTTCATGGATTTTCTTATTAGAAAAACTAAATGTAGATTCTGATTGATAATGTACCTAGTTAAAAAAATGTAGAAATCAAATTGATGTCATCAATATTATTTTAGTATTTTTCGTGAATAGAAGAAATCTGTAGTAATTTAGCCTAGGTGCAGACCACCGACTTTTTCAAATTCAAATTCAAACGTTTTTTGCATGTCACATTACAATTTATATGTTGTTGCAAAATAGAGGTATACACTTTTAGTTGGCCGATAGTTGGGTCGGGCTGAATCGGTATGGAGATGTATGAAAGTGCGCACATTACACCGATTTGGTATCGGCCGATTCTTCATACAAATTAGAATCGGGCCCAACTATCGGCCAACTAAAAGTTGGTGGTCTGCGCCTAGGCTTAGAAGCAATGTGTAGTTGGTCTTGTACTAGTCAATGTCTAACTAAAATATGTCAATGATTAATGTAATGTTTCTGTCTTTGTATTTCACAAAAATGCTTACAAATTAGACTAAAGCCCGGTCTGTGAGCACGTAGAATTTTGTCCAATGACCCCAAGCTACCCATCCTTATCGCTCGCGCGTAATTATATTGCTTATTATGCGCGTAATTATATTATATTGCTCGCACACTCACTGCGGACGGCCATCGCACAGTCGCGACAGCAATATAATTACGCGCGAGCGATAAGGATGGGTAGCTTGGGGTCATTAGACAAAATTCTACGTGCTCACGGAACAGACTATAGATGCCTACGTCGCAGCATCATCAATATATCTATTGACCTTATATCATGAATACGTTGTATCATTCTCCGTCCAGCCGCTCGCACACAGTGTTCACCATCGTGGTGCACATGAAGGAGAACAGCCCCGAGGGTGAGGAGCTCGTCAAGATCGGCAAGCTCAATCTGGTCGACTTGGCCGGCTCCGAGAACATCAGTAAGGTAATGTATTATCTTCATTATCCTACTACATATCATACATCAACCGCAATAAGGTTATTCTATTCTATTCACAATGGAGGGAAGTCGAACTTTAATTTCGAACTCCTCCTGTGTTCTTCTGATTAATTTCGTTGCGGGTCCAATGACAGTTTAACTTTCCCCCGGGACAAACTTGACCTTCATTGGTTGGGTTTTTATGGCGGTCAAGCTGTAGATCCTGGCTACACAGGAGTTGCAGTGATGGGAATAGTCCCGTATTCTATTCATAATATTGTTTGTCTTACGTTTTTCAATAGGGATGTTTCCTGGGTAAAAAAGCAAGTTTATTAGTCTGTCAGTTAACTTATCAAAAAATACTCGACACGTATTTTTCACTTTTTCAAAATAATGAAAATTTAAAGGGATAAAGCGCGCCAAACTTTCGAAGAAGAGGCCCGTGACCTCAAGGAGTGCTTAAAATAGTAGCACCTTGTGACGTCACGCGCAACACATGAGGCAGCAATGTTTTGAAGAGATCACGTACTGGCAGGACGTTGGACGTCCACCCTTTATCTTACTTTTATCATTCCACCTTTGTGAATAATAAAAGTTGCAAGAAGGCGCTGGATGCAGGCCGCTACCGTGCTCACTCGTGACACAAGCATATTTAGCTTAGTACAAGGGGCTAATGGGACTATTAGTAATTTGTGCAATAAAAAAATACTAATATTCTTTAAAAAAAAAAAGAATAGCCATTAAAACCTTTGTTTCGCAGGCGGGCTCCGACAACCCGGCGAAACGCGAGCGTGCACGAGAGTGCGTCAACATCAACCAGTCGCTGCTCACTCTCGGCCGGGTCATCACTGCGCTGGTGGAGCGCCACCCGCACATCCCCTACCGGTGAGTCGCACACAGGTCCCCGTCAACCCGGCGAGCGCGGGAGTGCGGCAACATCAACCAGTCGCTGCTCACTCTCGGCCGGGTCATCACTGCGCTGGTGGAGCGCCACCCGCACATCCCCTACCGGTGAGTCGCACACAGGTCCCCGTCAACCCGGCGAGCGCGGGAGTGCGGCAACATCAACCAGTCGCTGCTCACTCTCGGCCGGGTCGTCACTGCGCTGGGAAGTTGGTGCACTTGGCTCGTTTCAACTAATTGACGTCCACTGCTGGACAAAGAATCCCACAACGACTGGTCCTGCGCTGCCCACACCATGCTCTTCCTCCGAATGCCTTGGATGAATTAAGGTGCTAAGAAATTGAGTATGGCCATCCAAGGCAAATGAAAATACACCTGCTCGAGTTTTTTACAACGCACTTCACGTCAAATACGTAGCAGACTGCGGATGGTTCATAGCAGCTAAGTTGCGTATGTTGCAGCCGAATAATGATGAAGGCTTCCTCCAAAGATTTTCACAACGATCGGTCCTGCGCCACTCGTATCCAGTTGCCAGATCCTTGCACATTATTGAGTCAATGCCTAAACTAAGGGAGTTTCGCAAGAGGGGTGATGATGTCACAAAGCATACAATTCTAAAGCACACCTGAAGTCCTGCTGACTTTTGACGTCACATAAACACCCTCCCGTGTCGCTCCCATACCTGAAGTTCATTATGTACTATAGTCCGGTCGCCGAGCACGTAGAATTTTGTCCAATGACCCCAAGCTACCCATCCTTATCGCTCGCGCGTAATTATGTTGCTGTCGCGCTCGCACACTAACTGCTGCCGCCCGTCGCACAGTCGCGACAGCAATATAATTACGCGCCAGGGATAAGGATAGGTAGCTCGGGGTCATTGGACGGAATTCTACGTGCTAGGCGACCAGACTTGAGACCTGTAGCACAACAACTATGAATCATTTTTAAACAAACATTCCTCTCACAGCGAGTCAAAACTCACACGCATCCTGCAAGAATCCCTCGGCGGACGCACCAAGACTTCCATCATTGCCACCATCTCGCCAGGACACAAGGACCTGGAGGAGACCATGAGCACATTAGAATACGCTCACCGCGCCAAGAACATCCAGAACAAGCCAGAAGTCAACCAGAAGATGACCAAGAAGGCCATTCTTAAAGAGTATGCCGAGGAGATTGACAGGTTGAAACGAGATCTGCAGGCCGCGAGGGATAAGAACGGTATAGTGTAACTTTAATTTTAATAATATCCTGGAACATTTTCCTCAGCGTTATCTAGTCATAAACTTAGCAAAGCTTTTAAAAAAGTAGACTTTCAGTGTAGCATCTAACATTGTATTTTACATAATCCAAATGCGCGAACTACAAACCCTTAATAGACCTGATTTAGGGTCAAAAATATCGCTGTTCACCATACGTTGCCACAATTTGTTATGAGGTTATTTTATTAACTTTTTCACAGCACATCACCAAGTGATTATTAGTTGGTAATATTTGAACATGGTTAGGTGATTCTCAGCTAAGCTTGTTCAAATATTTAGAAGGTCTATTCCACTCTGGTCACCTGGGTTTGATCAGCCAGGTGCTCAAAGTGGACTCCATTCGACACTTTGGAGTCCTTTGATCACCCATGGATAAGATCACCTAGGTAATCAAGTGAACTTCTTATCGAAGTGGAGTAGACAATTTAGAACAGTTTATTAAAGTATTGCAATATGCACACAAGACACTTCACTAAAAATCTTCATCTCTCCTCCAGGTGTGTACCTAGCCAGCGATACCTTCGCCGAGATGACGCTCAAACAGGAGGAGCAGCGCAAGGAAATCCAGGAGCTGCTCCTCAAGAAGCGCGCCATGGAGGAGGAGCGCGACAAGCTCGGCACCGTCTTCCAGGACATCAACCAGAAGCTGGAGCACGCGGGACACCAGCTCAACGACACCAAGAACCAGTTGAATACGACCAAGGCCAAGCTCGCTGACACCAACAATGTAAGTCATGACCATGAGTAGTCATTAGTAGTGGGCTATGAGGGTAGCTAGCAGTCTTCCAGGACATCAACCAGAAGCTGGAACACGCTGGACACCAGCTCAATGACACCAAGAACCAGCTACATACGACCAAGGCCAAGCTCGCTGACACCAATAATGTGAGTCATGAGTAGTCATTAGTAGTGGGCTATGAGGGTAGCTAGTAGTCTTCCAGGACATCAACCAGAAGCTGGAACACGCTGGACACCAGCTCAATGACACCAAGAACCAACTCAATACTACGAAAGCCAAGCTCGCTGACACAAATACAGTAGGTAGCGAGCTAGGTGTCTAGAAGTCTTCCAGGAAGTACATAGCAGGATAGGCAGTCTTCCAAAAGGTAGAACATGCGGGACACCAGCTTAATGACACCAAGAACCAGCTGAATACGACCAAGGCCAAGCTCGCTGACACTAATAATGTAAGTCATGAGTAGCGCGAATATAAGCCATTAGCAGTGGGCTATGGGGGTATGTAGAAATCTTCCAGGACATCAACCAGAAGCTGGAGCACGCTGGACACCAGCTCAATGACACCAAGAACCAGCTACATACGACCAAGGCCAAGCTCGCTGACACCAACAACGTAAGTCATTAGTAGTTTGCTATGAGGGTAGCTAGAAGTCTTCCAGGACATCAACCAGAAGCTAGAACACGCTGGACACCAGCTCCANACAGGCTAAGAAGGCAGCTGGAAGTCTACATCAACCAGAAGCTGGAACACGCTGGACACCAGCTCAACGACACCAAGAACCAGCTCAATACGACCAAGGCCAAGCTCGCTGACACCAATACAGTAAGTAGCGAGCTAGGTGTCTAGAAGTCTTCCAGGAAGTACATAGCAGGATAGGCAGTCTTCCAAAAGCTAGAACATGCGGGACACCAGCTCAATGACACCAAGAACCAACTAAATACGACCAAGGCCAAGCTCGCTGACACTAATAATGTGAGTCATCAGTAGCAGGTCTTCCAGGACATCAACCAGAAGCTGGAGCACGCTGGAAAGCTCAGTGACGCCAAGAACCAGTTGAATACGACCAAGGCCAAGCTCGCTGACACCAATAATGTAAGTCATAAGTAGCAGGTCTTCCAGGACATCAACCAGAAGCTGGAACACGCTGGACACCAGCTCAATGACACCAAGAACCAGCTCAATACGACCAAGGCCAAGCTCGCTGACACCAATAATGTGAGTCATGAGTAGTCATTAGTAGTGGGCTATGAGGGTAGGTAGAAGTCTTCCAGGACATCAACCAGAAGCTGGAGCACGCGGGGCACCAGCTCAATGACACCAAGAACCAACTCAATACTACGAAAGCCAAGCTTGCTGACACCAATAATGTGAGTCATAAGTAGCAGGTCTTCCAGGACATCAACCAGAAGCTGGAGCATGCGGAGCACCAGCTCAATTACACCAAGAACCAGCTCAATGCGACCAAGGCCAAGCTCGCTGACACCAATAATGTGAGTAGCAAGCTAGATGTATGTAACAGGCCAGGTGGATGTAACTAGCAGTCTTCCAGGACATCAACCAGAAGCTGGAGCATGCGGGCACCAGCTCAATGACACCAAGAACCAGTTGAATACGACCAAGGCCAAGCTCGCTGACACTAACACTGTAAGTCACGAGTAGCAAGCTGTTAGGGTAGGTAGAGGTCTCTACAGGTTAAGAAGACAGCTCAAAGTCTCCCAGGACATCAACCAGAAGCTACGACACGCAGGAATCTGGCAGAATGGAGGAGCAGTGCATAGATCCAGGAGCTGCTCCTCAAGAAGCGCGCCATGGAGGAGGAGCGCGCCAAGCTCGGCACCGTCTTCCAGGACATCAACCAGAAGCTGGAGCACGCGGGACACCAGCTCAATGACACCAAGAACCAGCTCCACACGACCAAGGCCAAGCTCGCTGACACCAATACAGTAAGTAGCGAGCTAGGTGTCTAGAAGTCTTCCAGGAAGTACATAGCAGGATAGGCAGTCTTCCAAAAGGTAGAACATGCGGGACACCAGCTCAATGACACCAAGAACCAGCTCCACACGACCAAGGCCAAGCTCGCTGACACTAACAGTGTAAGTCATTAGTAGTGTGCTATGAAGGTAGGTAGAAGTCTTCCAGGACATCAACCAGAAGCTGGAGCACGCTGGACATCAGCTCAACGACACCAAGAACCAGTTGAATACGACCAAGGCCAAGCTCGCTGACACTAATAATGTGAGTCATAAGTAGCAGGTCTTCCAGGACATCAACCAGAAGCTGAAGCATGCAGGACACCAGATCAACAACACCAAGAACCAGCTCAATACTACCAAGGCCAAGCTCGCTGACACCAATACAGTAAGTAGCGAGCTAGGTGTCTAGAAGTCTTCCAGGAAGTACATAGCAGGATAGGCAGTCTTCCAAAAGCTAGAACATGCGGGACACCAGCTCAATGACACCAAGAACCAGCTCCACACGACCAAGGCCAAGCTCGCTGACACTAACAGTGTAAGTCATTAGTAGTGTGCTATGAAGGTAGGTAGAAGTCTTCCAGGACATCAACCAGAAGCTGGAACACGCTGGACACCAGCTCAATGACACCAAGAACCAGCTGAATACGACCAAGGCCAAGCTCGCTGACACCAATAATGTGAGTCATGAGCAGCAGGTCTTCCAGGACATCAACCAGAAGCTGGAGCACGCTGGACACCAGCTCAACGACACCAAGAACCAGTTAAATACGACCAAGGCCAAGCTCGCTGACACCAATAATGTGAGTCATGAGTAGCAGTTCTTCCAGGACATCAACCAGAAGCTGGAGCACGCTGGAAAGCTCAGCGACGCGAAGAACCAGCTCCACACGTCCAAGGCCAAGCTCGCTGACACCAATAATGTGAGTCATGAGTAGCAGGTCTTCCAGGACATCAACCAGAAGCTGGAGCACGGTGGAAAGCTCAGTGACACCAAGAACCAACTAAATACGACCAAGGCCAAGCTCGCTGACACCAATAATGTGAGTAGCAAGCTAGATGTATGTAACAGGCCAGGTGGATGTAACTAGCAGTCTTCCAGGACATCAACCAGAAGCTGGAGCATGCTGGACATCAGCTCAACGACACCAAGAACCAGTTGAATACGACCAAGGCCAAGCTCGCTGACACTAACACTGTAAGTCATTAGTAGTAAGCTGTTAGGGTAGGTAGAGGTCTCTACAGGCTAAGAAGTCAGCTCAAAGTCTCCCAGGACATCAACCAGAAGCTACGACACGCAGGAATCTGGCAGGATGGAGGAGCAGTGCATAGATCCAGGAGTTGCTCCTCAAGAAGCGCGACAAGCTCGGCACCGTCTTCCAGGACATCAACCAGAAGCTGGAGTACGCTGGACACCAGCTCAACGACACCAAGAACCAGTTGAATACGACCAAGGCCAAGCTCGCTGACACGAATAGTGTAAGTAGTTGTTAGGTCTCTACAGGCTAGGAAGGCAGCTGGAAGTCTACATCAATCAGAAGCTGGAGCATGTCGGACAAAAGCTCAGTGACACCAAAAACCAGTTGAATACGACGAAAGCCAAGCTCGCTGACACCAACACTGAGTAGCGAGCTAAGTATCTAGAAGTCTTCCAAGAAGTACATAGCACGATAGGTGGGTAACTAGCAGTCTTCCAGGACATCAACCAGAAGCTGGAGCATGCGGGGCACCAGCTCAATGACACCAAGAACCAGCTCCATACGACCAAGGCCAAGCTCGCCGACACCAATAATGTGAGTCATGAGTAGCAGGTCTTCCAGGACATCAACCAAAAGCTGGAGCATGCGGGACACCAGCTCAATGACACCAAGAACCAGCTCAGTGCGACCAAGGCCAAGCTCGCTGACACCAACAATGTAAGTTAGCTGATTAATAGGGTAGCTAGCTTCTTCTACCAGAGAGTAGAATATGAGGGGAACCAGTTCATGACTCCGGAAATCAAACAGCAGTTGCAATGTGCTAGCAAACAGCTCAGGTCACAAAAAAATATCAATTTAATAACGGACTTAATAGCTATTCCCACTTATCGTTTCCATCACTGCAACTCCCGTCTAGCTATGATCTACAGCTTCAAAGTCACAAAATATCGGCCAGCGAAGGCTAGTTTGTCCCAGGGCCGACTGACATTTCTTAAACTGTATTTATAGTTCATTTTTTGACGATTATCACATTGCACCGCGCTCCGCCGCGGTCCGCGTGATTTCATATAAAAAATCCCGCGCTCAGACGCGTTGTCAGTGTGTTGTGCCGCGCGTGTTTTCTATACAAACTGATGTACTTGCATACAATGATTAAATCTGTCGTCCCGCGTACCGGTGTAGTGTGATAATCGCCTTTAAGTGGAGATTGACAATCGACCTTTAACTTCGAAGTTGTCCTACTTTTGTTTATCTCCCACTTCCACAGGTGCTTCAAACGACGAAGCTTCGGTTCGAGGAGCAACGCCACCTGGTGGTCGCTCAGCAGCAGACCGAGGCCGCGTTGGGGGCGCAGGCGCGCGCGCTTCTAGCCGCTGCCGACGCTGCTAGCAAGCACGCTTCAGCGCTGCACGATACCGTCGACAAGCGCAGGTAAGTTGGCACACAGGATGACGGAGAAGAGATGAGACGTGTTTTGAACAACTGTTGCGGCCCTACTCGCGCCTCATCATTTTCCAATAGCAATATCTACTTCTAATGTAAATGTCACATAACTTTTGTCAGTCAATACTTTATATTGAACTAAACATTATGTAAAATCACTTCTCTTTTGGATTCCGATCGAACAACATCAAAATTGTAACGTCTCAAGAATACAACGAAATAAGCAGTTTCCGAGTTTTATTTATAAAATTCCATCGCGTCTGCAAGGGAGTGATGGTGAAAACGGGTATTAGACTCACAGCTACACACAGCTCACATCTACTTCCCTTTTGTGTCCTCTCTTCTTCTTTTTAGTGAAAGTAACCCGTCAGATAAAGATACATTTATTTGTTCAAACATGTGTACATAAGGTGTTAAGATTCGCTGCACGTCTTCGTTCCCTTAACAGTCGCCCACGTCCGCGCCACTAAACTAATTATTTTTTCTCGATACAGAACAGATAGTATAACTGTATAACGCTAGTGCGTTTCTTGAGCATCTTTTCAACCAGAAGACGTCTATTGCTGGCCAAAAGCCAAAAGATTTCCACTATGACCAATCATGTACTAATGGGTAGTACATGAGATGGGTATCCAGATACTTCCTACGATTGTCACTGATTTCATATCATCTTTTATTTATTAGCTTCTGTTCTACACATTGCAATATTTTGTGTCAATAATCTTATTTTCTACCTCTATAGAAACGTGGAGTCAACCAACCTAGAAGTGACGCAGACATTCCGCGCGGAGTCTGCGCAACAACGCGAGCAAATAGCCGCCGGCGCACAGCACTTCACCGACTCACTGCTGCAAACTCTCAACGGGCTACACTCCACGCTTGGTGAGGAGTTTGTTCATTAGATATCATTGTCTAGCACAGGGCTGACCAATGAGGGCTATCGTTTTAGCGCTCACCAGTTAGCGCCACTGTAGAGTAAGGTCCTGTCACTTGCTAGTAGCGAAGACAGTGGCACCAACTGGTGAGCGCTAAAGTGGTAGGAGGACTATCGCATTTGCACTCATCAAGATGGCGCCACTGTAGAGTAAGATCCTGTCAATCCCCAGGGGTGCCAACTGTTAAGTATAAAAACGATAGCCCTCATTGGACTCTTAACTAAGCGTACATTAGTGTGAGGTCAACCAACTTAGAAGAGCACATAGGCGCCGGCGCACAGCACTTCACTGACTCACTGCTGCAAACTCTCAACGGGCTACACTCCACGCTTGGTAAGGACTGTTCATTAGATATGATTGTCTAGCACAGGACTGACCAATCGGACTCTTAACTAAGCGTACATTAGCGTGAGGTCAACCAACTTATAAGAGCACATAGCCGCCGGCGCACAGCACTTCACCGACTCACTGCTGCAAACTCAACGGGCTACACTCCACGCTTGGTAAGGAGTTTGTTCATTAGATATGATTGTCTAGCACAGGGCTGACCAATCGGACTCTTAACTAAGCGTACATTAGCGTGAGGTCAACCAACTTAGAAGAGCACATAGCCGCCGGCGCACAGCACTTCACCGACTCACTGCTGCAAACTCAACGGGCTACACTCCACGCTTGGTAAGGACTTTGTTCATTAGATATGATTGTCTAGCACAGGACTGACCAATCGGACTCTTAACTAAGCATACATTAGCGTGAGGTCAACCAACTCAGAAGAGCACATAGCCGCCGGCGCACAGCACTTTACTGACTCGCTGCTACAAACTCTCAACGGGCTACACTCCACGCTTGGTAAAGGCTTCGTTCATAAGATATCATCGTCTAGAACAGGGCTGACCAATCGGACTCTTAACTAAGCGTACATTAGCGTGAGGTCAACCAACTTATAAGAGCACATAGCCGCCGGCGCACAGCTCTTCACTGACTCATTGCTGCAGATGCTCAACGGGCTACACTCCACGCTTGGTAAGGACTTTGTTCATTAGATAAAATATGATTGTCTAGCACAGGGCTGACCAATGAGGGCTATCGTTTTAGCGCTCACCAGTTAGCGCCACTGTAGAGTAAGGTCCTGTCACTTGCTAGTAGCGAAGACAGTGGCACCAACTGGTGAGCGCTAAAGTGGTAGGAGGACTATCGCATTTGCACTTAACAAGATGGCGCCACTGTAGAGTAAGATCCTGTCAATCGCCAGGGGTGCCAACTGTTAAGTATAAAAACGATAGCCCTCATTGGACTCTTAACTAAGCGTACATTAGCGTGAAGTCAACCAACTTAGAAGAGCACATAGCCGCTGGCTCACAGCACTTTACTGACTCACTGCTGCAAACTCTCAACGGGCTACACTCCACGCTTGGTAAGGACTTGTTCATTAGATATGATTGTCTAGCACAGGGCTGACCAATCGGACTCTTAACTAAGCGTACAGTACCCGGCATTAAATATTGCACATCGACCTTTGGAAAGAGAATCGGTTAATTTCGGCTCGTAGAGCGTTATCTCTGTCGCACACTACCTATTGACTTGACAAAACATTATTCAATGAAAATATTGTCCGAACCCTTAGTATTTCTCTTCGACAAATTGTGAACCACTTCTTTCACGACTATAAAAAGTTTTTAGCAATCTAATTCACAAAATCAATTGCACACATTTAAAATAAAGTTTGTTTACACTTTGACAAAACGTCATTGTCAGTCGTTGTTCAAGTGCGACAGTGATAACGCTCTACGAAACCGAAATTAGCCAATTGTCTCTTTCTAAAGGTCGATGTGCAATATTTATTGCCGGGTATTGTACATTAGCGTGAGGTCAACCAACTTAGAAGAGCACATAGCCGCCGGCGCACAGCACTCTACTGACTTACTGCTGCAAACTCTCAACGGGCTACACTCCACGCTTGGTGAGTGCAGAGATAAGAAATAAAGCTGGGTTGCACCATTTTACTTTAACTTTGACAAACGTCAAAAATCTATACAATAAACACCGGTTATCGTCAAAGTTAGGTGGTGCAAATCTGCCTTAAACTGTCTCACTCGCGAACTGATACTTACAACCAGTAGGCTTAAGATGTGCGCCGTGATAACTTTTATCGACGTCAAAATGTATGGACAAAATCGATAAAATGGCGCGATAACCGCTTATCGCGGCGCGCATCTTAGGCCTACTGGTCGAATTAAACGCGCACCTTGCAGTCGTGACGTCACATCGACGCTCTGATACAGACGGGGAGAATACGTGCAAGGGACAGTTGCATTTCAATAAAGTGCGCAGTTAGCTCAATCGGGTTGTCAAGCAACAGTCTCTATCTCCCGTGTGGCTCGGTCATGTCCGTTTTGATTTACTTTATAGTCAACTAGCGGCCGCCCGCGACTTCGTACGCGTGGATCCCGTTTTACCCTCTTCATATATCTTACGCGGTTTAGATTTTTTATACAAATGTTTTTTCCCGCAAACTCCCGTTCCAGTGGGAATTTTGCAATATCCTGCTGTAAGCTTTGAGTTTACTAAGGTACCATGCCAAATTTATAGCATCTAACAGCGGTTTAGATTTTTCATACAAAAGGATTTTCCCGCTAAGTCCCGTTCCCGTGGGAATTCCGCGAATTCCTTTCTTAGTGCACCTCTACGGTACCTTAGCTACGTCCCTTCCAAATTTCAAGTGCCTACGTTTAGCCGTTTAGGCTGTGCGTTGATATGTCAGTCAGTCAGTCAGTTTCTCCTTTTATATATTTAGAAGATAAACACCTGATATTTATAGAGAACTTCGTGCAATGACAATATTAATAGTTGCCAACTATTTTCAACCATTTTCTTTATTTTACTTTATTTACCTATACTTCGTATGATAATGTTAGTATGTTCTCTTTATACCTGCGTTTTATCCTTTATGTAATAAAATAATCATATTTATTTCCACAGACAATTTTACTACGAACACAGTAGAAGCACAAGACCAGAATAAGAACAAGTTGACCGAATTAGTGCAGAAACTAGTCGACGCTACAGCTGAGGTATGTATAAAGTTTTTTTTCCAAGATTTGTTTTTAGTGGCCTATGTATTTACTATGAAATGATAGATATCTAAGTCCGGTCGCCGAGCACATAGAATTTCGTGCAATGACCGTAATCTACCCATCCTTATCACTCGCGTGTAATTATGTTGCTGTCGCGCTCGCACACTCACTGCGGCCGCCCGTAGCACAGCTGCGGCAACAATATAATTACGTGCGAGTGAAGGATGGGTAGCTTGGGGTCATTGGACAAAATTCTATCTTCTCGGCGACCGGACTTTATAAAGTCTTCACAACAACAGCTTTTACCCCACCCTACCTTTTCCTTAAGCAAAAGGAAGCATCATGATTTTAGCACTGTAGTAATATTTATAATTTATTTTCAGATTAAAACCCTAACAGCAACAGCCCAAGACAGCTTCTCCAAAGCCGCCGAGAACCACCGCGACCAGTTGCAACAAGCGCTACTAGTCCATACACGCGATTTGGAGCACTTCATCAACTTGTTCGTATCGGCGCTATGGGCGCACACGCATCGGATGAAGGACGTAGAGATAGCTAAAGACATTGAGAAGTTTGTGGAGGAGTGGGTAAGTGGATTTGTAAATGTAAACCCAATACACTGAACTGTCTCACCCGTGACATTGACAGGGAGGCGCACAGTGTGTGATATTGCCTTTGAAGCGGACATCCGTGTTGTCTTCGAAACTAAGCAAAAACATCTACTATAGTCTGGTCACCGAGCACGTAGAATTTTGTCCAATGACCCCAAGCTACCCATCCTTATTGCTCGCGCGTAATCATATTGCTGTCGCGACTGTGCGACGTGCGCCCGCAATGAGTGTGCGAGCGCGACAGCAATATAATTACGCGGTAGCTTGGGGTCATTGGACAAAATTCTACGTGCTCAGATACCGGGTAGTTACTTCCCCAATTTTATACATCATAGTAATATCCAACGATTGAATTCATAAAACATGGATGTCCGCTTCTAAGGCAATATTACACACTGTGAGACGCCATTGTCAATACCGGATCGCTGGTTCCGATTTTTGCCATTTTGGAAACTACGTAATTGAACGATGGTGGCGCCCCCCTATTAATGAGTTTGGTGGGACAGTTCAGTGTAGGTCATCTATAGTTTAGGCCCGCCATACATGCACAGCTCGAGCTGTTATCCAGTGATCAACGCACACAGACTGCCCTTGAAGTTATAGTCAACAGCTTGAAGCTGCCATTAATAACTGCTAGAGCAGTTGGTATTAACTGCTCTTGAAGTAGCAACAAGCCCCACTAGTCCACACGCGCGATCTTGAGCACTTCATCAACTTGTTCGTATCGGCGCTATGGGCGCACACGCATCGGATGAAGGACGTAGAGATAGCTAAAGACATTGAAAAGTTTGTGGAGGAGTGGGTAAGTAGTTGTAAATAGTTTAGGCACGGCATTCATTGACAGCTCGAGCAGTTATCCAGTGATCGATGTACACGGCGTGCACAGCGTGCTATGCTAGGTGTTTCTTTACGAGATCGAATCAGAAATGAGGAGATCCGTAAACGAACTAAAGTCGCTGACATAGCCCAACGGATTAGCAAGCTGAAGTGGCAGTGGGCAGGGCATATAGTACGCAGAACTGACGGCCGATGGGACGTAAGGTTCTGGAGTGGTGGCCACGTACCGGAAAGCGCAGCGTAGAACGTCCACCCACTAGGTGGACCGACGACCTCATAAAGGTAGCGGGAAGGCGCTGAATGCAGGCTGCCACCAACCGGCCATTGTGGTAATCATTGGAGGAGGCCTATGTTCAACAGTGGACGTTCTATGGCTATGTATACGGACTGCTCTTGCAGTCATAGTCAACAGCTTGAAGCTGCCATTAATAACTGCTAGAGCAGTTGGTATTAACTGCTCTTGAAGTAGCAACAAGCCCTACTAGTCCACACGCGCGACCTAGAGCACTTCATCAACTTGTTCGTATCGGCGTTATGGGCGCACACGCATCGGATGAAGGACGTGGAAATAGCTAAAGACATTGAGAAGTTTGTGGAGGAGTGGGTGAGTGGATTTGTAAATAATTTAGGTGTTTGTAGCAGCTATAAATTCCTGATGTATAGGAGCGGCGTAGGGAGGTGTTTTTGTGATGTAAAGGGTTGAGAACTTCGTGAATTCGTGACTGAGTGAGTTTGTGGCGACAACTATCGACACGCCATTATAAACAGACTAGCTTTCCGCCCGCGGCTTCACCCGCGTGGAATTTTGTCTGTCACAGAAAAACTTTATCGCGCGCGTCCCTGTTTCAAAAACCGGGATAAAAACTATCCTATGTTCTTTCCCGGGACTCAAACTATCTCTATGCCAAATTTCATCAAAATCGGTTGCGAGGTTTAAGCAGGAAAGCGTAACAGACAGACAGACAGACAGACAGACAGACAGAGTTACTTTCGCATTTATAATATTAGTTGGGATGGTGCTGATACAAACCTGCATCGCACTAGTATAGACCCAATACACTGCCCTGTCAATATCACAGGTGGGACCACCTGTGACATTGACAGGAGGGCGCTACCGTCAATGCCGGATCGCTGGTTCCGATTTTTGCCATTTTGGAAACTACATAGTTGAACGATGGTGGCGCCCCCCTATTAATGAGTTTGGTGGGAACAGTTCAGTGTAGGTCATCTATAGTTTAGGCCCGCCATACATGCACAGCTCGAGCTGTTATCCAGTGATCAACGCACACAGACTGCCCTTGAAGTTATAGTCAACAGCTCAAAGCTGCCATTAATAACTGCTAGAGCAGTTGGTATTAACTGCTCTTGAAGTAGCAACAAGCCCTACTAGTCCACACGCGCGATCTTGAGCACTTCATCAACTTGTTCGTATCCGCGTTATGGGCGCACACGCATCGGATGAAGGACGTAGAGATAGCTAAAGACATTGAGAAGTTTGTGGAGGAGTGGGTGAGTGGATTTGTAAATAGTTTAGGTTGTAATACAGCTTAAAGCAGCTAATATT